CTTTCCAGGGCTCAACAGTTGATGATTTATGACCTTGAGCATGTATACAGCACTAAAAGCTCAGAGCCTCAGACTGTCTAAACCCCACCTTGAACGGTATCAAGAACACTGACCAGTATCGAGATTCAGGGCAGCCAGCCTTCAGACCAGAGGTGAGTACCGACCACCACTGTGCAGGTGTTGCGTTATATTCCTAAGCACCACTCATGAGTGGGGTAATACCGTTCAATAGAATTGTAGATCATCGTTAATAAAACAGCAAGTGGAACAAATTTATCCATCATCATTTTCACCACTGTCCCATCAAGAAATTTTATCATTCCTTGATTTCTAAAAATCACTGTTAAATAAACCTAGAAAGCACCATCCTAAAAGCATGAGAATAACTTTTAATTCTCTATAATCCAAAAGATATTTTCACACATCAGAAACAAAGAGATGAGAGGATCATGGAGCCTGCACTTGCAATTCTGAATAGTATTCCTTTACTTATTATTTGCATGGCTTTTTTTTGTTTTGAGAGTTTTTTGCTATTGGATATGTGTGCTCACCAGAAAGACAGAAAGCAAGAAATCACCCCCTGGGGGATAGTCACGCTGTAATCCCTTCTCCATTCACCTCTTGGAATACTGGGCAGGCAAGCACATGCACCAGGCATGAGTTTTATGCCACCAGGTCTGGGACTCGAACAGCAGTTGACTGTATGGGACTCCAGCAATGTAACCATTATGCAATTTGCTGGTCCCCAAAATTGCATGTTTTGTACTTTGCTGTTACTTAACTATTTTTAAAATGTATACGTTGTTTTTTAATATAAAATACAAAACTAAAAGCATTTTTAAAATAGAGAAAAATAGGACTTTTTTTATCCTCATGAATTTTATCATAATTTATAGATCTTTTGCAGGTTTTTGGTGGTTTTATGCACCATTTTTGCGGGATTAACCACACTCATATCACCAATTGAATTAACTGATATTGGCTCTTACCTTATGGTTGCCTGATGTAAAACTGCAATGAAGCAACATCAAGAAAAATGGAATGAAAGTGACGTGTATACGCAAATGATTTTATTTTTAAGGTTTCTGCCACAGGGCATGTGTGTTCGCCAGGGAGAGACAGAGAGACAGTGAGAGGGCAGTGAGAAATCACCCCCCAGGGGAGATGGCCACATGACAATCCTTTCTCCTTCATTTTCCTCCTGGGATTGTGGGTATGTGCATACATGTACCTGGCATGACTTTCAAGCCACTGAGGTGGGACTCAAACCATAGTCAGCTGTATGAGAGTCCAGCAGCTTAACCACTATGCCACCTGGTGGCCCCTGTACCAATAATTTTAATTGTACAAATTACCTGCTCAAGAGGAACATGATTCACCAGGCCACTGACAACTGTTCTAGGGGCTGGTTCCCCAACGTCGACTTCTTCTACATATAAAGAATCTGCATCAGGGTGTTTTCTGGCAGTAACGATGCAACCAATTCGAAGGTCTAGTCGGGAAACGTCTACTGGCTTAGAGTCAGCACTTGCCGCTACCGATGGCTGTTTTTTCTCCTTCTTCTCTCCTGAAAGTACGTAATAAGACAAGCATCAGAAGTAAAACAAAAATACACTACAAAAACCCATGCTATCCACATTGATGAGCTTAAAGGGAAAAAAATGAATATTTATCTCCTATTCTAACTTAACAACAAAGGAAACAGTCATAACATCTTGATCCTTACTGTACATGTCTCTGCTCCTAGTCAGAGGCAGAGAGAAGAGGCTGGCAAAGCATGGCTCATGTGCCAAAGCCAGCCTGCCACCTGGTTTTGTACAGGAAGTGTCACTGAACACAACCATGTCCACTCACTTATACATCGTCTATGAGTAGTTCTAAACACAGCAGAGGTGAGTTCTTGCAACTTCAAAACCCTGACTTAACTACTATATGCCGTTTATAGAAAAAGCCCGCCTTTCCCTGAAACTCTTTGGGGAGTGAGAAATCCTTTATAGAAAGAACACTATGATTGGGTTGGCAGGTAGCATGATGGTTAAAAACACACAGTCGACTGTAGTTCGAGTTTCGGACTTGGTGGCTTGCTTCCTCACTTTCTCTCTCTCTGTTTCTCTCTGATCGAACTGGAAAATAATAATAAAAAATAAAATTTAAATAAAAATAACACTACGATCCATAACTAAATGACAGAAATATAATCCCACTCATAATCTTTTCATCTATTTGACGACTGCATAAAAGACATTCACAATTTATTTATTTAAAGGTAATTCACAAATGAGATAGCGTAAAATCCTGGACAATTAATGAAATTTTTATTTCATTAACAAACTTTGAAATAATTTTTCATAACAGATTGGCAAAGTTTTTTAATAGTAAAAACTCAAATGACAGAGAAATATATATACAAAAATACTAGGAAAAACAAAAATGGTATCTTTGCGTGAACACTACATACATTTAGAGTAGAGCAGTACATCTGTGTTCATACATAGTTTTAGTTTTAAAAATGTTTCTTTGACCACTGACCGGTGCTCACACCAACAGTGGTCTAGAAAGACCAGGCACGTGCAGAGCAGCTCTTGCGTGAGCAGAGTATCTGAATCTGCTCATCCCAGTGGCCAAGCACCCACGCAACAGCCCTCTGTAACCGGCGCTGTCCAACAAGGTGACAGCCAGCCACATACAGCTATTTACATTCAAATTTAAAACAGAACTACAATCAGCTCTTCCATCGCACCAGCCACATTTCGAATGCTCAGCAGGCACACGTGACCACTGACACCAACATGGACCACACAGACATAGCACATCTTCGGCACCACAGAAAGTCCCACTGTCCTGGGAACCAGCAGTTAGCGTAATGGCTATGTCGCTGGACTCCCACGTAGTCGACCGCGGTTCGTGTCCCGGACCCGGTGGCTTAAAACTCACGCCGGGCGCGTGTGCGTGCGTGCCCAAGATCCCGAGAGGAGAATGGAGGAGAAGGGACTGCGGCGTGACCATCCCCCCTGGGGGGTGATTTCTCGCTTTCTGTCTCTATGTCTCTCTCTGTCTGTCTGGCGAGCGCACGCGCCTTACAGTGAAAATCTCTCCAAAAAAAAAAAAAAAAGAAAGTCCCACTGTCCTAAGTGTTCTAGACTAGAGGTCAGTTTTCTTGTGTTCCCCTCCTTCCTTCAAAGGATGACTGTGTTGCCTCATTTGACTCAAAGGTTTATTAACCATGCAGTTAGAGTAACAGTCCATCTTCCAAAAAGAACAGAGTATGGACTTCGCCAAATCTGTAAGAACAGGCTATATGACTCTTTTGTTTACTTCTTATAAAATCTAATACAGTGGTGGAGTGCACAGGAAAGGATACACAGGCCCTACCTTCTTCTAAACAGCAGCCACTACTGAAGTTTACCAGAAGGAACTGGAAACTGCTACTGTAGATGCCGAAGTGGCTTAAGTTAGTTCAAAAAACCCCTCAGCCATTTATACTGTCAATAAACAAATGTAAATGAGTAAATGTAATGGGAGGGGTGCAAATGAATTACACAAGCGTTTCTTAAGACACATCTAGGGAAATGAAGAGTAAAAAGGTATGCAAGAGTACAACCTAAAAAGACAGATTTAAATTTTAAAAAAGTTTAGGGGACCAGCAGTTGGCGTAATGGCTATGTCGCTGGACTCCCACGTAGTTGACCACGGTTCGAGTCCCGGACCTGGGGGCTTAAAACTCACGCCTGGTGCGTTTGCGTGCATTCCCAAGATCCCGAGAGAAGAATGGAGAAGGGATTGCAGCGTGGCCATCCCCCCTGGGGGGTGATTTCTCACTATCTCTCTGTCTCTCTCTGTCTGTCTGGCAAGCGCACGTGCCCTATAGCAAAAACCTCTCCAAAAAAAAAAAAAAGTTTAGGGACTAAGCATTAGGGACTAGCAGATGGAACAATGGTTACGTTGCTGGACTCCCATGTAGTCAACCACAGTTCGAGTCCCAAGTCCTGGTGCTTAAAACTCACTCTGGAGACCAGCCGATGGCCTAACAGTTATGGACTACTAGGCTGGACTCTTACATAGTCAACTGTAGTTCAAGGTCCCGACCCAGAGGCTTAAAACTCACATCAGGTGCATGTGTCTCTCGTTGTGGAGTACACACACCCTAGAGCAAAGCTCTCTGGGGGGGAGGGGACACCTTAGCAGCAAGGTAAAGGATAAATGAGAAGATATGAGGCTTTCACAGTAAGCAGATAAAAGATCCCAAAATAGGCACTAAGATAGCACCCACATACTAGAAGAGCAGAGCTGGGTTCCAGAGATGCTGTGGTGACAGGAATTACAGATTCGCTGCTTAATCAGATATGAATATTGAAGAGAGGGACAGGTTAAGACTGAATGTCGGATGTCAAGTGTGGTTGCCTAAGTGAAGTGATACGATTTCCTACTCCAGGTCTTATGGGTTTCTGAAACCTTAACACCCCCATGCCTTAGTTCATACATTCTGCTTTGGCTAGTAATGTCCTTTTCTTTTTTCACAACTGGTCCTAAGCTAACTTCCTACCTGTGACTTTTCTGAAACTATGCCCCAAATATAAGCCAAAATTCAATCATACCAAATTGTGTACTGGCTCCTACACTTAGTCTATTTTCTGTCTTTACTTATGCTGGTCTTTGTGCCTAAAATGCCATCCTACATCCTGCCGACTTGATCAGCATTCACATAGCCTTTAGGACCCAGCTTCTATGTTCCAATATCATACTGTCCCTAATTTTACTCTAGTTCATAAACTTTTGAATTTTTTTGATGTGATTATTATCATCAAAAATACTGATATTATCTGACAAGCCAGTCAAGAGTCAAGTAAGCACAAAAGTTAAAAATACCTTTCTTTTCCACTTTCTCTTTCATCTTTTTTTCTTCTCCTCCTCCTTTTATCTGTTCTTTGGTACCAGAAGAGATGGTTGTTATTGGTGCACATGGTACGTTTTCCGAAGCTATAGAATTGTCTTGCAGTGGAGTACCAGATGGGAATGGTATTTGCTTCACTGACAAAGAAAAGGAAATAGATAATATCGTTTATATTAAGCCAACAAATAAAGACTAAAAAAAAATACAGAATTGTGAGCTATAAATACGAACTCTGAAAAATTCACTGTATATGAACAAGTATCTGTTGTCTTTGCCATAAAAAGGCTGCCAAAAAACTAAGTATATTTTAACTAAAGAATAAAGATGTGATTCCCATTTATTCACTAATTACTAAGTTGAAGAACTGCAGCTAACAGTAACAGCTCACATTTACTATGAACTTACTGTGTTATAAGAACTTTTTAAAGTGCTTATAAAAATGATCTCATATAACTGTCCTAAATACCATAATAAGTTCTATTCATGTCCCCGCTTCACAGATGGTGACTGAACTGCACCGAAGAAACAGCAGCACACAGAGCAAGTGGGAGAATGAGGGTTTGTGCCCAGACAAGTTCTGCGTCCACGGCAGAATTCTAAGACTGTTTCTACAGTAGAGTAGGCTCTCATGGTTTGGCAAGATGGCGACTCTTTACTGAGGTTTTAGATAATCGACTAGGAAGGTATTTTAGTATTAGTCATCTCTATATTAGAATTTAATAGAGACAGCATTAACTGACTGTAATTCTACATCAAAAACAACTTTTTAAACAAGCAAAGGGAAGTCTTTCAGCAGTGATTTAAGATGTTAAAAACAATTCACATACCCTAGTAAACACCACAAAATATAATCTCAAGAGAGACTTTTTGACCGCTGTTGTTTTAGGTTTCCTGTAGGGTGCTGCATCTTTTAGTAATGTCAGCTCCTGTTTTATGTTTCACCATTAGATAGAATTCACCATTTTAACTCAAACCACTCATTTGGTTTACCATTTTATTTTATATTATTTCTTGTTAATTTCCTTATTTCCTCTGTGGATGAGTGACAGCCAGAGAGCACCCCCAAGAGGGTCATGATGCTGCAATTCATCGCGGCCCTGACACAGCCCTGAATCACACCGGTGCATGCCTGGAATTTCAGGGAAGTCTCCACATTTGAACTGGGAACCTTCCCATGTGGTACTGCCTTACAGAGTGCCATGTTTTACTAGTGTGACACACTGTCAGCCCAGCACTTTTCACTTTACTTATAATAGCTAAAATGATAAGCAGTGCCGACCTGATTAACTGCAGGCAGGTCATTTTGGATCTGTAAGCTTTCACTTCCTCGTGTAAAACAAGTGTGTGTACAGTTTGCAGGGATAAAGTACCCAGTGCCCGTGCAGCAGCTGGCACACTGCTTGCTCTCAGGAGAACCTACTGGAGACGCCTCACGGTTACGCTGGCTAATGGAAAGTGCGCAACAGGGAGGAGTGACGTCGAGCAACACTGCTCAGGCGGTGAGCTCAGCTCTGCCCGTGTAACCTTGGGCAGGACCACGTGCCTTTCCTAAGTCTCCACTTTCTCATGCAGAGCAGGAGGAACGCACAGTAGGGATGTCAAGTGGACAAGCATAACTATAAATACTGAGGGCTGTAATTATAAGTCTAAGTCAAAACCACCTATCATGTCTATATTTAATCACCTCCATTCTGAATCTCTGCCTGAATCAACTCTTGTTTCAGTTCTTCAATTTCTTTCTTCAATTTAGCATTTTCCACTCGAAGTTTCTTCTCTTCTCTCAAAGTTGCCTGCAAAACTAGCATCAAAAATATCTAATTAAAACACGTTTCTTTCCAAAGGTTTCTTGATGAATGCTATTTGAAAGAGGATAGCAGATACAACTGCAGGCACCTCCTTTACACCAGTTAACATTTACTTAAATAATGTAATATTTAAGAGAGAGAAAGAGGGAAACAGAGAAACATCTCGAAATAGCAGTGGAACAGACAAGGTTGTGTTTATGAATCTTTTTATCTTCTATAAAGATGTTCACTAAAATCTAATTATTACCTTGTTATCATCATAGCTATAATAAAGGGCAATGGCCATTTAAGATTCTGGCACAGGGACCAGCAGTTGGGGTAATGGCTATGTCGCTGGACTCCCATGTGGTCGACCACAGTTTGAGTCCCGGGCCCAGTGACTTAAATTCACGCTGGGCACATGTGTTTGTGTGCATGCCCAAGATCCTGAGAGGAGAATGGAGGAGAAGGGATCACAGTGTGGCCATCCCCCTGGGGGGTGATTTCTCACTTCCTGTCTCTGTCTTTCTCTGCCTTTCTGAGGAACGCATGTGCCCTACAGCAAAAACCTCTTAAAAAAAAAAAAAGAATCTGGCACAAAAGTGTCAATAATAAATGAAATGTTAAGAGAGGTTAGGTTAAGTATTCGATATATTAAAACTGTAAGTTAGGACTAGCAGATAGACTCCCATGGGGTTGACCATAGTAAGAATCCAGGAACAGGTGCTTAAAACTCATGCTAGGTGCATGTGCATGTGTGTGTGCCCAAAATCCTGAAAGGAGAATGGAGGAGAAGGAACTGCGGTGTGGCCATCCCTCTGGGGGTCATTTCTCACTTTCTCTCTCTCTCTCTGGCAAGCATATCTGCCCTACAGCAAATCTCTCTCTAAAAAACCATGGAGACAGATGGTAGGATGACAGTAATGAAACAGGATCCACACCAAGGTCTCTGTTAAGTCTCTGCTGACATCCTGAATCTCCCTGCACAGGCTGGGCTGGCTGGGGATGGACCGCGGCATGAAAACACTGAGGTGCCTCTCTTCCTATTTCTCTTTCTCTCTGTTTCTTTTATAGGAAAAAAGAAAAACATTAGTAAACTTAAAACAAAATAACAGGCGCAGACTACATCGCACAGTCCCCGGCACACTGGACTGTAGAACTACAAGCTGCTGCTCCAGTTCCCCGTGCAGCCCAGAAACGTGCTGGGTGCAGGCATGTGTGTCCTGAACGGAAATCACAGAGATGAGACCCTAGCGAGAGTGCTCTCTCTTTCTCTCTCTCACTCACTCTCATGCCTATGCTTTCTATTCAGAAGAAAAAGGCAGAAAAATGTTGGTTCTCAATAGGGTGGGTTTTGAAAATCTGTGGGTGGAGGAGTCCGACCCGGTCAGGCCCAGGATCTGTCCTGAGCCTTTTGACCTATACCTCTTAGGTTGGGCAGCACGTTGGCAAGGCCGCTGTTGTGTACCCCCCCCCAACTTAGGAATAAGACTTAGGTCGAATTAGCATGTCAGCAAGGCTGCTTGCTATTTGCTTTAGAAAACTGGTAGCCTTGCTGGGAAGAGACCCCCCTCTGACTCCCCAATATACTACTATAAAAAAAATTACATAGCTCTCTTATACATCCTGAGCATATAATAAAATTTTCCAGGAAGTCCCCCAACCACTCCCCTTTGCTCTGATCACCTACTGTTAATTACAATGCTTTATCTCCATGGTCACAATAGAGGGTGGGCTGAAGTTCTATCTAGGCAAAAATAATCTTGACCTTTAGAAGGCCCTTTAAAATACATTTAAAGTAAACTTGATCTTTTCTTTGTATAAAATAAGATTAGGCCAAAATTGGCCTAGGACACCCCCGCCCTCACTAAGTAAAAGAGATAAATATATTAAGATTCCTCAAATTAAGTTTTAAAACCCTATAAAACTGTATAAGTATTATTCTTTATTAAGATCCATCAAAACTAATATCTATACTTGAGATTTTCCTTTCTCAGAACCATTCCCGGTAAACACAAAATGGCTGCTGCACCACATCAGCTGATAATCACCTCTGCTTACCGAAACCGCTTTTCCAAAACTGCATTCCATAAAGACCCACCTACATCAAACGAACAATTGCGGAATTGCACTAGACCCACCCTTAATCCAACCCTAAATAAAATCTATGTTCCTTATTGTTAAAACTCTATGAGCTGATAATTGAAACACGTAGTCCCTCTTCCATTTACTTGCATGTAACACATTTTTAATAAAAAGGCACGATAATTCCTAGCAGTTGTCACTCCTCAGAGAGCAATCTCTGGGGGGTGTCTGGCAAAGGACGTGCATAAAAAGGCACTAAGACCTTTGTCTTCTGTTCACCTGTGCCGCCTCTGTCAAGTCAACCCACCCCCGCAGAGGCTGGACCCCGGCATGTGGGACTGTTTTTGGTTATTGCGGCTAATGGGAGTCTCCACAGGCATTTGTTAGGGAGGGTCAGAGATGCCAGGTTCCCTGCAATGTGCTGGACATCTTGCAAAATGAAGGCATTCCTCACCTCCTGCAGATCTTTCCAGTGGCCCACTATGGATCTGTAGAGGTCAAAATCCTGTCAATAATTACATTAAGCTTAGATTCTAACTGTTCTCCACATATAAACACCAAGTTTTCTAAGAATTGAGTGCCATGTACAACCAGGGTAGACAGCATTTTGCTTTATTCAGAGCTTTACCTAAGCAATCAGTCACCACTCTGAGTAAAGCAAGTAACACATCAGGAGTCAGCACTGCCTCGGTACCTCGGCTGCCCACGGAGCAGACCGACTACACCCGTGTGCGCCTGCTGTGTTCGTGGTGATTCTGCATGTGATCGTGTGGTACGGAACCCTCTCAGACTACCTCTGCTAGTACAGTCCTGCGGAAGTATTTACTCACTGACACACGCATGTCTACTATTTATGAACAACTGTCTTTTAGTTCTTTTATAGCACATACGTGGCTGACATGTTTTGAAATTATGTATACAGGTAGGTTACTCTATCTAAGAAGTGCTTTCTTTATAGAATACTAAAAGAAATTTTACAAAATATTGTAAATGGAAGCAATGGGACTGAGAACCACCAGGATAGGCTAACATAGAATAATAGACAATACAGGTGAAGATTAAGTAGAATTTTTTGTTTGTTTGTTTTTTTATAATTAGCAAAGCTAAACTGCTAGTCAAGATGCTAGGAAGTGGCTACTCATACAAGAAAAAAAGTCAGTCTGTAACATAAATTATATCACACAGAAGCACTGACCTCCTTCAATCTCTTCATCTTACTAATGGAAAAAAAGAAAGTGTTTCCAACATCCTGCTAATGTGAGAATGTTAGAAAAGATTAAGAATTTTCAGAAAGATAATAAAAATGTGCGGAAACGTTATCAAAAATAATTAAAATAGTATTCAAAATTAAGAAAAGAATTGAAAAAGGAAAATATTTTTAGAGAGTAAATGTAGGATTCTATAAGTCATCCACAATTTCATGTAGAGGAAGTGTCTATTTCTACTAGTGACAAGAAGATTTCCTGATTTCTACTATGACATTATTATTGGTTACTGAGAAATAAAATATATGTACATAAACAAATCCAAAACCAATCTAAGTCCTAAAGGCAGAAATTCAAATTGGCGTTTCTGTATATATAATAGCAATTTATAAATAAAACTTCGTTTCCATGAAAAATCTTGGAAAATGCCTCAGCAGAGTAATATGAAAATAAACATTCTCATTCATACAAGGTTAGAAAAACATGATTTCATATTTGATTTAACCCAATCCTCTTCATCCCTCTCTGCTAGTGCTATACCAATTTATTTTAAACATTATAATCTTAATCCTTTAGCAGTCTTGAACTAATGCTGTTTTCTCCATCATATGTTCACTATATGCCCAGTCTAATTCATCCTAATTCAATAGTATTACTACACTCAAAATATTAAAGGAATCTAAACAGGTTATCAACAGAATTAATAACTTATGTCATAAACACTTTTTTATTTGCTGCGTCAATAATGAATTCATTTTAGGAATCTCCTTAGAAAACGTAAAACCTTCTTACTTGCTTTCTCCTTGAGTAGAGCAACCTGCTGCTTGAGATACTCAATGATCTGATCCGCCTCTGCGCCCTTCTGCTCCAGCCTCTTCAGAACAGCATCGCTGGTCGCCATTTTTGGCAAGAAACGGCAGAAACTCCTAAATAAAAAAGTAAAAGTTATAACTTACATTTACAGAAGGAATGAATTTATTGTACACGTAGCAAAAAGGAAATAAAAAAATAAAATTTCTACTGCAATAAATCAGTATTATAAAAGCACTTTTCCTATAGAGAGCAACAAACTGAAAAGCACTTTTTAAAAAATAATTATTTATTGAATTTTATTTATTCATTCATTTGTTTTTAATTTGACACACAGAGAGAGAGAGAAGTGAGTAAGCAAGCCAGCCGGTCTGAGACTCAAACCGTGGTCAGCCATATGGGAGTGTCCAGCGCCTTAATCACCATGCTACCTACTGGTTCCCCTGAAAAGCACTTTTAGCACTGTTGATACTTAGGTTTCACTGTGCTATCCTTTTCCTTTTTTAGGATTTTACCATAAGGTACATGCATTTGCCAGAGACACAGAGAGAAAGACAGAGAGAGGGCTGGTAAGAACCCGTGGGGCAGGGCAATGCCTTAACACCGTCTCTATTCTATCGGGATTTTGGACACTCAAGACACACACCGGCTTGATTTTTCAAAACACCAAGCCCAGGATTCAAACGGCGGTTGCCCATATGGGAATCCTTAACCACCAAGCCACCTGCTAGTCCCTAGTTTGAACATTTTTTTAAAGTTTATTTATTTCGGGGGTAGGGGCATCTGTAACAGGATCTTCACACACATCCTCTTGTCTCTTCTAGGGATTACTAACCGTCACTGTCTGAAACCGCTGAATGTGAATGCCTTTAAGCCAGGGCTATGCAGACTTCACCACCCTTTTCCTTCTTTTTTTTTTTTTGGCCATTTGTTACATGCCAGGTCCCAAAGAGTCACTTAAAACCATCACCTCGGTTTTACCTATAGACTGATTCTGCCCCATGTGCTGGGTTCACAGAGGACAAAAATAAACATGTTCTTTTTTCTTTGCAATGACTAAGCTTTCAGACAAATGAAAGAAACAGTAAGTTGAAGACATCTTTTAGAATGAGGTTATACTTAGGAAGACGGCGCGAGGTTAACAGTAATCCTACTTAAAGCTCAGACAAACCTGCCCATTTCCCTGAGCGCTCCCGTCAGTGCTGCACGGTCAGTGCTGCGCGCTAACTGCCCCACTGTGACTTTTACATTTAGATCGGTGAAGATAAATCTCTCCTTAGAGCTTTCAATATGCTGAGACGCACTGGGTGTCCTCACAGACAATGCCAACAATGACAGGTAGTATTCGTCAGGGTATTCCTTGTGTGTTGGCTAAGTGCTTTACGTGAGTCATCTACTTTGAATGCTGTCATTCTGTCCATTACAGAGGAAGAAACTAGAATTCAAATTACTTTGGTCCAGCTTACACAGCTAGTTAGTATGAGGATCGAAACTTAGATCCCCCTAACACTGGAGCTACTTCTTTTAATGCCGGAGCTACAACTTCTCTAAAGAATATTATTACAGAAGCATTTTCCAAATACTTAACAAAGGGACCAAGAAACACCTGTTAACATTACCTGGCGCCAGTATTCTCTCCAACAGTTTGGGGAATGCTGGGCTAGTCTCTGTACTTGCTTCAATCCCGTCTTTCTCCTCTCAGGATTTCTGGCTCACACACACAGCCCAGCGTGTTTTTCAAGCTGCTAGTTTGGGACTCAAACCACACAGGCGGCCATGTGGGCTCCAGCTGCCTTTACCACCGTGCCACAGCGGGCCTCCGCCATTCCTTACCTAAGAACACAGCTACTGAAAACACAGCTACTTTTTCAGGGAAGCAGGCCCATTACATAGCTTGCCGTTTATTCTTCAAGAGCCTTCAAAATAGCATTTCCGTCTTGCAGACTCAAATTACGTGACTTGCCAAAATCCCTTCAGGATCAAGTGGCCAAGTGCGACTGTAACCTGTCACTCAGAAGCCTAGGTAAAGACGCGTCCCTGTCGCACACTCTACTCTGGCCTATCTAAGGCCGTGCGTGGAGCACGCACCGCAATTTCCCGTCTTTTTAAAAAATAATTATTTATTGAATTTTATTTATTCATTCATTTGTTTTTAATTTGACACACAGAGAGAGAGAGAAGTGAGTAAGCAAGCCAGCCGGTCTGAGACTCAAACCGTGGTCAGCCATATGGGAGTGTCCAGCGCCTTAATCACCATGCTACCTACTGGTTCCCCTGAAAAGCACTTTTAGCACTGTTGATACTTAGGTTTCACTGTGCTATCCTTTTCCTTTTTTAGGATTTTACCATAAGGTACATGCATTTGCCAGAGACACAGAGAGAAAGACAGAGAGAGGGCTGGTAAGAACCCGTGGGGCAGGGCAATGCCTTAACACCGTCTCTATTCTATCGGGATTTTGGACACTCAAGACACACACCGGCTTGATTTTTCAAAACACCAAGCCCAGGATTCAAACGGCGGTTGCCCATATGGGAATCCTTAACCACCAAGCCACCTGCTAGTCCCTAGTTTGAACATTTTTTTAAAGTTTATTTATTTCGGGGGTAGGGGCATCTGTAACAGGATCTTCACACACATCCTCTTGTCTCTTCTAGGGATTACTAACCGTCACTGTCTGAAACCGCTGAATGTGAATGCCTTTAAGCCAGGGCTATGCAGACTTCACCACCCTTTTCCTTCTTTTTTTTTTTTTGGCCATTTGTTACATGCCAGGTCCCAAAGAGTCACTTAAAACCATCACCTCGGTTTTACCTATAGACTGATTCTGCCCCATGTGCTGGGTTCACAGAGGACAAAAATAAACATGTTCTTTTTTCTTTGCAATGACTAAGCTTTCAGACAAATGAAAGAAACAGTAAGTTGAAGACATCTTTTAGAATGAGGTTATACTTAGGAAGACGGCGCGAGGTTAACAGTAATCCTACTTAAAGCTCAGACAAACCTGCCCATTTCCCTGAGCGCTCCCGTCAGTGCTGCACGGTCAGTGCTGCGCGCTAACTGCCCCACTGTGACTTTTACATTTAGATCGGTGAAGATAAATCTCTCCTTAGAGCTTTCAATATGCTGAGACGCACTGGGTGTCCTCACAGACAATGCCAACAATGACAGGTAGTATTCGTCAGGGTATTCCTTGTCAGTGCTGCACGGTCAGTGCTGCACGCTAACTGCCCCACTGTGACTTTTTACATTTAGATCGGTGAAGATAAATCTCTCCTTAGAGCTTTCAATATGCTGAGACGCACTGGGTGTCCTCACAGACAATGCCAACAATGACAGGTAGTATTCGTCAGGGTATTCCTTGTGTGTTGGCTAAGTGCTTTACGTGAGTCATCTACTTTGAATGCTGTCATTCTGTCCATTACAGAGGAAGAAACTAGAATTCAAATTACTTTGGTCCAGCTTACACAGCTAGTTAGTATGAGGATCGAAACTTAGATCCCCCTAACACTGGAGCTACTTCTTTTAATGCCGGAGCTACAACTTCTCTAAAGAATATTATTACAGAAGCATTTTCCAAATACTTAACAAAGGGACCAAGAAACACCTGTTAACATTACCTGGCGCCAGTATTCTCTCCAACAGTTTGGGGAATGCTGGGCTAGTCTCTGTACTTGCTTCAATCCCGTCTTTCTCCTCTCAGGATTTCTGGCTCACACACACAGCCCAGCGTGTTTTTCAAGCTGCTAGTTTGGGACTCAAACCACACAGGCGGCCATGTGGGCTCCAGCTGCCTTTACCACCGTGCCACAGCGGGCCTCCGCCATTCCTTACCTAAGAACACAGCTACTGAAAACACAGCTACTTTTTCAGGGAAGCAGGCCCATTACATAGCTTGCCGTTTATTCTTCAAGAGCCTTCAAAATAGCATTTCCGTCTTGCAGACTCAAATTACGTGACTTGCCAAAATCCCTTCAGGATCAAGTGGCCAAGTGCGACTGTAACCTGTCACTCAGAAGCCTAGGTAAAGACGCGTCCCTGTCGCACACTCTACTCTGGCCTATCTAAGGCCGTGCGTGGAGCACGCACCGCAATTTCCCGTGCAGACCAGCCACCGTTTACCACCACCCTCCCGCTGCTCCCCTCTCCTCCCCGTCCTCTGTCCCGTCTGTTCGCGCAGCCCAGGGACCTCTCGGGGATGGCAGACCCCATCACTCCACAGCTCTAGGCTCTCCAGTGGCTTTCTACTCCATTCAGAACAAAAGTCGGCTGGCCCGTTCCTGCTCTCCCCGACTCGGTCTCCGGCTTTGGGTCCCTTCACCCCGCGCTGGCCCACGGGCTTCCGTGCCGTTCAGGTCCGCTCTGCGTCCTGGCCTGGGAAGGGCGGGTCCCTGCGCCTGGTCGCACCTCTCCCCCGCTTCGGGCGAAAGCAGCTTTGCGGGAGCCCTCCCCGGCCACCCGCTTTGCGGCTTTCCTCCGCATTCTTCACGCCCTAAAATGCGGTTCGCCTTCATTCGCGGCGTTTCAAGTGCGTCTTCCCCGATACCGCGAGCTACGGGGAGAACTCGTGCTGTGCCCACTGCCCGGAACCAATGCCTACACTGCGTACGACACAGCGCGCGCCCGAGAACCGCGGGCCGGGACCTCCGCGGGTCCGCGTCCCTCCTGCCCACACCGCGTCCTCCGGCGTTCGCGCGTCGGGGAGTGCGCGGGGCCCTTCCGGCGGCGCTTTCGCAGGCCCTCCGCCCCACTTCTCGAGCTGGGCTCCTTCTTCGCGCCAGAACCGGCGCCGGTGCATCCCGCTTAGACCCCAAGGCCCCCTCTGCGGAGGCGCGTACGGAAGGGAGACGCAGCCAGCGCGCCCCGGACCCCGCGACGTCACTCACATCCAGCGGCGGACCGGGGTTCCGAAGCCTCCGCAGCGAGGATGGCAGGGTCGGCCTCCCGCAGACGGCGGCCGTGACAAAGGACCCACGG